TCATTGGTTGATTGAATCATAACTTTCCTTTTTTTTTAGTTACTATAACTAAGAACTATAAAAACATTCAGATTAAAAGATGATATGGGGTGGTAACCTAGTTTGCTTACACAATAAGGATTATAAGGTTCTTTTGTTTCTCTTTAGAAAATTCACTAAATGGATAAAATGTATGTTAGTTATATATTATTGTTACTATGGGGATGCCTTTTGTTACAGTAGTTCATAATTAGTTTTTTTAAATTTTACGCTACATAAAAAATAGTCAAAATAATATAAAAATATTTACATATTAAATCAAACATTTGTTTATATCCAACTGCCTTTACTATAATAAAAAATATTATTGAAGCTAACAATATCATCCAAATTACCATAAGGCTTATCTATTTAATGACAACTAAGTAACATATTCAATTCTTTAAGTAAATTGAAGCATTAATATCTTTATATGGTGATGTTGTTGTAAAAGTTAAAATAGCTAAGGTAAAAAACCCGAAAGTGAAAAAGTCTAAATTTGTTATCTAAAACGTATTAAATAAATACAGTTTTATGTATATTAATTGTGTGAGCCAGTAATTCATCATACTTTTATAAATAATTTTGATTAATAAACGATGATTTTCTAACAAGTATTGATATTATAGTCATTTTACTTATTAATTATTAATTGGAGTAGAAGATTTTTCAATAATCAATGAAAAAATAACTTAAAAGAATAATTTATTTCCTATAACTTTAATAACAGATAAAAGTAAGTCAATGACTATTTAACTTTATTGATAAAGCGACCAAATATTACTTTATCTTAGGAATTTTAAATATGTAAAAATCATTCAAAAGAGATTGAAATTATGAGATCTTATAACTGTTCTTGTTAGAAAAATACAGCACTCTTGGCTTTAATATCATGAAATTGAATACTATAATATTTTAAAAAAATTTCAGATAAAATGATTATTTGAACTATTATTTAATATAACTTAATTAATATCAATATAGAACTAAATGTTTAATGCAAATTAAAAATAAATTTCTCTTATTCTTCTGCTAAGAAAAAATTAGCTGCTGGATCTGGTGTAGCTACCGTCATTGGACCAGTACTTGGTGGTTCTAAAGGTGGTTGATTGGCTTCTTGTGGCATTGGCAATTCTGGTTCAGTTTCTCTATTTTCTCTATTTTCTCTATTTTCTGTATTTTCTCTATCTGGTATTAAACTCCTTGAAGTATCTCTTGAACTTTCTTGAATAATAGGAGCTTCTTTAATTACTGGTCGTTTCGATTCCATTGATGGTCTACTTTCTATTAAAAATTAGGGGTCAAATTGAATTTCTGTAGAAACAAATTGATTACCTTCAATTGCTGATTCGAATTCTTTACTTGCTGGTATAGCTTTATTTTTTGATGCACCAGATAATAGTTTGGTGATTCCATCTAGTCCATTGGCACCATCGAATAATAAAGGTCTACTTGATATGCTACTTAATGTTACTAAAATGAATACAAATTGATATTTCATTATGTGTATATATTTAAAATTTAAATTTAATTATTCGAATATAATATATTTATATATTATATATTTATATATATTGCTAATATAAATGTTAGTTGTAAACGGTTTTATTAAATTTATTTCACTGTTTTTTTTTCTGTTTTTAGTCGTTATTTTTTTAACTTGAAAGTTTATAAATTTCCGATAAAATTCAGATCCAAAATAGTTGTCAAATAAAATTATTGATTTTAAAATCAACAATTAAAATTTAAAACTTTTAAAAATTATAAACAATTGATTAAACTTATAATAAACAATTATAATATAAATTTTAAGTTAAACATAAATAAAACAAACTACAAAATAAATTAATTCAAAAACTATAAAATATAAAAAATTTAATAAACGATAAAAATCTTCAAGTTAAGGGATTAAAAGATAAGTGGGGGAGATGAATTGAAGATAACTTTAAAGATACACACATTGCACTCTAAATCATCTGGCATCAATTTTAAAATAACGAATTAACAAAAAAAACTAAATCCATGTTAGTACAAATAATAACAATCTCATATATATATTAAACAACAATTATTAAAGTGATACTGGTTCTGTAAAATTCGATGGGAAAATACCTCTTAAATAAGTGCCATTATTATCTTGAACTTCTCCTTCCCACCAACCATCTAATTGAGTAGCTAATACTGATATAATTTGTCCTTCTACTAAGGATATTTCTTCACTTATTTCTGCTTCATAATCATACATTGCTTTAACATAAAATAATATTGGTCTAGAATCAGGTCTAGTACTATTTTTATTATTATTTGTTTTATTACCATTTAGTGTACTAACTGTTACATTATTATTATTATTATTATTAATTTGTTGAGGTTGAGATTGAGGTTGAGGTTGAGTTTGGGATTGAGGTTGTTGTTGTAATTGTTGTTGTTGTTGTTGTAGAGGGATTTGATTATTATTACGTGGAGTAGTAGGTTGCATTTGAAATTGAGGAGCAGGTATCATATTTGTATTAGGCTTACTATGAATATTAGTATGAGCAGGAGAGTAAGAATTTGGTGGTGAAATAGTCATAACTCTTTGGTCTGGATGATAATAATTAATTGGATAATTATTATTAGCCGGTGAATAAGGTGCTGAATGAGGTAATGGAACTGATTGAGAATGCGGATGGGGATGAGGTGATTGTCTTAAATAACTTTGATTAGGTATAGTACTAAAAGATCGTTGTAAATTATTTGGTGATGGACAAAATTCTTCCGGTGGTGATATGGACCTTATTTTACCATTTTGTGAATGTTTAGAAGAATTAGAACCTGATCTTTCTAAATTATACATTGATCTTGGGGAATCATAACCATGTTGGGTAGATGGATTTGGGGATGAAAATTGGGCTGGTGAATTATTTCCCAAATTAGATGGTATAGTTGGTGTACGAGATACTGGTCTACTACCAGTAGAGGACCTTTTTGCTGCTAATATTGGACTACGAGCAATAGTTGCACTAACTAAATCGCTTGAAATCAACTTTGATTTTTCATTAGTAATTGGTGTAACTGGTGAATTATTATTAGTATAATTTTTATGTGAATTCATTTCAGAACCAGCTAAAGAAGATGCCAACTGATTCAATTTAGGATCTTGGGATTTTCTGATTTCATTACGTAAGGGAGAACTTTTTTCAGGAACAGCAATATTATTTAAATTATTTAAATTTTGTTTTTCATACAAATTTTGATTATTATTTTGAGATGTATTAGAATTGTTACTATCATCATCTGAATCTAAACAAATTATGTTAATAAAAGCTAATAAATAAACCTATATTAATATTACTATATGAATAAGTATTCGATTGAAATGCTTCTAATAAATCTTCTACTTGAGCTTTAGAATCGCATTTTTCTAATTCTCTACGTATTTTTTCAAGTGACTAAATAATCCATTAGTAAACTATATATTTAATCCTTAATTTATCTTACTTCATCATCAGTTACACAAGTACTTGAAATTAAATTAGTATATCTCCATAAAATATTTCTAATAAATTGAACACGGTTAACTTCTAAATTACGATGACCGTTCGAAATTTTTTCTTTTTCTAAATATAATTGATTTTCTGAATCTTCAAATCGAGCTTGAGATAATCTTAATTCTTGGTCAGCCCCATATCTAGCAGCGTCATTACCAATTTGTTGAAATTCTAACACTCTTTCTCTAGCCTATTAAAAATAATTCATTAACTAACTTGATTGAAATTAATACAAAAATGATTACTCTTTCTAACATAAAAGAAAACCCATCCCTTTCTCTAACTTTAGTTTCTAAATTTTTGTATAAATTTTTTTTATTTTGTTTATGATGTTGGTATGCTTGTCCAGTAGCTTCTTGTAGCTCAGTTCTTATTTTATTAGCCAATTGAATATGGTCGTTAGCTACTACTTCTAACTCTCTTAATGTTGCCCCTAAAGCTCCTTGTAATGACCTATATAATGTATAGATTAATATTCGCATTAATAGATATAAAACTAAAAAATACCCTTTTTCATTATATCCAAAAGGTAACTTAGTTAATTGAATTAATTTATTCGAATATTCTTCTTCTAAGTCAGCTCTTAGTCGAAAAAACAATTCTAATTCTTTGGTTGTACTTTTGGTTGATTTAAACCATTTTAACCAATTTTCATTTAAATTAGCTTCATATCCAACTGTATATTGGTCTCCATGAGTGTTATAATTTTCATGCGTTATGCTCTAAGACAAAAGTAATTAGATTATATTAGTAACAAATTACTATATAAAAACTTACCATCTTTTCAGTAAATGGGGATTGATTTTTAATATTAGCTAACATAATATTAAGTTAATAAATGAGTATCGTAAAAATTAACAAAAAATAAAGTTGATTCTAAGAAAATAGAAAATAAAAAGAAAATTATCCAAAAATTGAATTAATAGTATTGAGAACTTTTAAAACTTGAATACTCAAAACCTTTAATATTATTTATCTTGAAACCAAAAGTTTATTTATCCTTTCCTCTTTCTTTATTTTTTCAATTGTTTATTTCTATAAATTTACCTTTCAATTAATTACTCTTAGCTGTTAAAGTTTGACCTTTTTATAAATGGTCTTTTATTTTCAATTCCAACGTCCTAATTGGCGCCTCTTGTTACATTCTTTTTAATTCAATTTCTCCATTTTTATTTTTATTGGTTAAAATCAAATAAACTTGAGAACCAAAATTCAATTTAAGTTTAAGATAAAGTTTTATTAAAAAAATGGAACCTAATAGCTAAAATTAGATCTTACTAACTTATTACTATTCGTCAATTTGACAATATTAAAACATAAAGTTGTTGAAATGTTACCTTTTTCATTCGTGAAGTAGTAACCCATTTGAAGATAATACAATCATTAGTAGTGATAAGTATTTATTGAACTTGTTTACAAAAAATTAATTTATATAAAGTTAAAATAATTAACTGGAGTAGCAGGGTTTCGATCCCCGTGCCCCTCGCATGCAAAGCGAGTACTCTACCGATTGAGCTACTACCCCATTCTGTTAATTGGTATATAATAAAGTATATAAATCCCTCTTTTAGACTATAAATATAAGATTTTATTAATTATTTAAACAAGAAAAGATTTAGATTATCCTATCATTATTATTTTCATATGTTGGTGGCGCTTCTTTTATATAACTACTAGTACCAATAATTTTTAATTCATTAGCTCGATAATAAAAATACATATTATCTCCTAAATTGTATGAAATTTTAGTACCTTGAGTGCTGAATATAGTGGGTAGCAAGATCGTTCCTCCTCCACTGTATTCATAATATAACAAGTCTCTACCGTTATAGGTAAAAGTCAGTTCTTTGCTGTGATTATCATAGTATATTCCTACAATATCTAAGGCTTTTATTGTTTGTACATAAGCTTGCGGATACTCGGTTTTGTTTATTATTACTCCATTATTTCGGGCTTTAAGTAGGATACAATGTTCTATAAGAGGTAAAGCTATAAAACAAAAAGGTATAGAAATATTAATTACCATCTATTTTATCTTCACATTTACCAGCTAAACCGATTAATAACTCAGAATCATTTTTCAATTCCAATATTTTAATTTCAAAATAAAACGAGACAGAGGTTAATAAATAGATATGAGATTGAAGGATACAATTTTCTAAAAATTCAATAGTACATTTCTTTTTTTTAATTTTGGTTTTATTTCCACAACTTGGTTGAAATGTATCTTTGATATAATTAGTTTGAAATAATTCTAAAGAATTCTCCACTAATTCTTCTCTTCCAACACCTTTCCTTATCTGCTTATAAATATAGGGTCCTAATACTAATATTGACAGGGATAAAAAGATGGCTATTATAACAACAAATATGGTAGTGGAAGAATCAATCATTCAAGTTAGTTAAAAAGCTTTTTTAAAATTGTTTTAGGATTTATTAAATAGAAATGCTTCAAGAACATTTTATCCTATTCTAGATTTATTTAGTAAAAATTTCATCTTTATCTGTTCTTTAATTTACTATTTTATATTATTCCTGGATATTACTATTATCCTTATACCACGCTTAAAACTATGGCGATATATTAACACTTTAAAGTGTCTCTTGATTTCTTTCTCTATAGTTTTATTGTTCTCTTGAAAAGTTCACTATAACATGATGTATTACTATGTTCCACCAAGCTAAGAGTTTACTAAATTTAGAAATTATGCTTTCAGTAATTTAGTGTAGGAATAAATTGATTTAAGTTGAAGAGTATTATAATTTTATAGAAATAAAGACATTCCATATTAGATAAAGTATATTAAAATGTTGTTAAAGTCATTATATTTCATAAAAAAACCGTATAAAACATTTTCTTACATCTTTCAAAAACTTGATACGATATGAAGAAGATGTTTTTTTTTGGCTTCATTACTTTTTCCATCTTTTAACCGCTATTTGAGTGGAAAATTGTTAGTAAAACTCTTAAATACAAAAATGCATCCCCATATGATATTTCCTTACTTATGCAGTATAAGTAAATAATATTTAAACTATAATAAGTTAGCCAATTTATAGCAAACCCATTTTTTAATATCAAGTAGTAAATTTTTCACCAAAGCTAAGCTTTTAACGATTATGAGTAAAACAGAAAGAATAAAATTTAATAATCATTTTTATTTATTATAACTAAGAGGAAAAAATATTTTTATCGCTATCAAAATAGGATCATGTTTAGATAAAGGAGCCACTATTAGAAAATACAGTTCATTTAATCAAATGAACGACGACCTCTTTCATACTGTTGAGCATATTTCACTTTAACTTTTAATTCTTGAGCGGCTTTTAATACAAAGTTAGGAGTCCTTAAAAATTCCCTAGCTAAGAAAACTAAGTCAGCTTTATCATCTTTAATAATTTCATTAGCTTGTTCAGGAGAAGTGATAAGCCCTACAGCACCAGTAAATAACCCATTATTATTATGTTGTCTTACTGCTTCAGAGAATTGCACTTGATAACCTAAACCAGTAGTAATTTTTTGTTTTGGACTAGTACCACCCGATGAACAATCAATTAAATCTACTCCTAATTCTCTCAATTCTTTTGTTAAAGAAAGAGTTTGATTTAAATCCCAACTAATTTCTTCAGAAATCCAATCAGTACAACTCAACCTAACAAATAATGGCTTTTCAGCAGGCCATACTTGGCGAATATTTTGGACAATTTGTTTTAAGAAGCGAGTTCTATTTTCAAAGCTACCACCATATTTGTCAGTACGCTTGTTGGAGATAGGGGATAAAAATTCATGAATTAAATAGCCATGAGCTCCATGAATTTCGAGTACATCAAAACCAGACTTTAACACTCTTTCAGCTGCATTTTTAAAATCATTAATAACTCTATCAATATCTTGAATGGTCATTTCAATTGGAACCAAATGCTGATCATCCCAAGCAATAGCTGATGGGGCAATAATATTATCCCAACCACCAAATTCTCTAGAAGCGATATCATCTGCTTTTGGATGATATAATGGGAAAGTAGAACCTTTTCTACCTGAATGTCCAATTTGAATACCAATTTTACCTCCTTGTTGATGAACATAAGTTGTAATTTCGGTCAATTTCTCCATATGTTCATCTTTCCAAATACCAGCACAATAGGGTGTAATTCTTCCTTCTTCAGATACAGCGGTAGCTTCGACAATGATTAAACCTGCACCATGCAAGGCAAATTGTCCATAATGAACTAAATGCCAGTTGGTCATAAATCCATCTTTAGAGCTATAGGTACACATGGGAGATACAGCCACCCGATTATTTATTGTTAAATTTTTGATCGTAAGTTCACTAAATAAAGGGGCATTTTCATTTTCTCCTTCTATATTACTCCCAGCAGTTGGATTTTGTTCGACTACAAAATCTTTTGGTTCAATATTAAATACAGTCATTTTTTATTTTACTAAATCTTTATATTTATAATTAAGTTATATAATTCAAATATGAAATAGTATTGTTTATATACTTTTTAAAAAATGGAAGCTTACATATCTATTTATCTATCTTACTTTTATATTAGTAATATAAATATTTATTTTTATAATTCAACCACTTTAGTTTATTTAATTTTATTTTTAATTCTTTTAAACTAAAAGTACATTGTTAATCAAAATTAGTTTTTTACTTTAATCTTGCTAATTTTAGAAGTTGAATATTTTTTTGTCTCCACTTATAGCAAATGTAAATTAATAATAAATTCACTTTTCTAAATTGCGTCATTTTCAGAAAAATTCTCAGGAAAAACCAATCAATTTCGGGATATTGATTTTCTAGCTTAAATTTTAATGTGATTAAATTTGATTGCAAAATAAAACTAATAATAATTACTAATACAGATTTTTATTTCTAATACGCCATAGATTGTGTATGTCTTCAAGTTGAGTGAGGTGTCTAGCTTATCAATAAAAAATAGAAGTCCTTATAGTAAGACAAGAGTTTGTTTAAAACCTTGATCAAAATTAAGAGTAAAATTAGCTTAATTTTAGTTTAAATATTGATTATGTATCAAAAATATTTGCTTTTTAAGTTTTATTCACCTTTTAACAGATTATAAAAATATTATTTTAAATTTAAAACAAAAAACATCTCTATAAACTTACTAAGGTTGAATTAAACAGTTTTATTGAATATTTTACTTATTGTTATCAAATTATAGTGAATTTAAAAAACGTAGCCCTTTTTTAAACTATTGTACATTGAAGAATAGAAAGCTGCCTCATATGATTTTGAAAAGTATTGATATATTACTTATCTAATTAATTTTCATCTAGTTCAAAAAGATGCCTGATTAGCTCAGTCGGTAGAGCATGAGACTTTTAATCTCAGGGTCATGGGTTCGAGCCCCATATTAGGCTTTAATATATATAAGATTAATGTGTTCTTTTTTTGGTTTGCAAGACTAGTAACTATAATGATTTTTTTGAACATACTTACAAAATTCCATAAATCAATCATAAAGCTTGAGTTGAATACATCATATTCAATTAAATTGTTATAAAATATTTTATTAAAATTAAAATTAAAAAGGCCTAATAATAAACTACTTTCTTAACTACGGTTTTCTTAACTATCTCTTCTTCATCAGCTTGATATTTAGATTCGAACCTCTTTTTAATAGAAGCAGAAGAAATATAATTAGGATCTGAATTAAATTTGTATAATTCTTGAGCATATTCCAATTCTTGTTCACGGAATTGTTCAACTGGATAACGATTCATTTGTAACCATTTAAGACCAACTGGTTCTGGAATCCTTAATTTGACTTTATTATCACGATCTTCAGAAGATGGACATAATGTTTTTGGGCAAATTTGTTCAATTTGCTGTAACAAGGCATTAGGTTGGATAATAGAAGTAAGATCAATGGCTAGATTTTGACCCTCATGCTCAATATTAACAATTGGATTTTTAGGTTCTGTTGGGTATTTAGGTTCTGTTGGATATTTAGGTTCTGTTGGATATTTAGGTTTCGTTGGATATTTATTATTATTATTCTTTGGATATTCACCATAATTTTCATCTGTGTTTCCATAATAACCTCTACGACGAACTCGGAATCCAAGAGATTCTAAGATTGTTCTTAATAAACTTCCATTAATAAAGAAATTATTATCGCGTCCTGGTCGACCTCCACGTGGTGGGGGTTGTCTAGTAGGAGTAGGTTCGTTTGTAACTTGTGGTTGGGTGAAAGTCGGAGTAAAGATAGGTTGAGTATTAGTTGGAGTAAAGATAGGTTCCGTAGTAGATGGAGTAAAAATAGGTTGTTGAGTAGTACTTGGGGTAACAATAGGTTGTTGAGTAGTACTTGGGGTAACAATAGGTTGTTGAGTAGTACTTGGAGTAGCAATAGGTTGTTGAGTAGTACTTGAGGCAATAGAAGATTGTGTATCAATTGGTTGATCGGTTGTTGTCTGGGGAAGACTAATAGTACTTGATTGAGTTTGAGGAGCAGTAGTGGTAGTTTCAGTAGTAGTATCATTTGATT